TTTAAGCAGGCAGTAACAGAGTATTAACATTCTTCTAGTCTGCTGACCATCACACCCACATAGAGGTAATCTCCAAAACTTTGAAGTGGCATAACGTACACACTGAATAAGAGAACAGCCTGACAAAGCAGTTCTGAAGAAACCGCATCTTTCTATCTCAGAAAGGAACGTGTGGAGTTTAACAGGCAGGATAAGCAGCCCTCCGTAGTGTCTGCATCCAGATGATCCTCAGGCATTTATGGAACGCTAACAGCCCTAAACTTCCAGAACAGGAAGCATGGCACAAGACCAAAGGCTGGTTTATGTCACTTTAAATGTATCCATTGATGAGTCTAGCTGTTTGAGTGTTTGTGTTGAGTTTAATTCAAACACTAAAACAGTTTTTGTGCCTTTTCAGGAGGCACACAGATACTTCGTCCTATTGCAGCTGGAGCTACTGGAGCATTGTTAGAGTAACATTTTATGCTAAAATTTGTCGATTATTTTTAGTTTCACTATTTCCATTTGCAGTCAATGCACTTAATATTTAACATCTCGCAGCTCGTGTTTCCCATTCAGTGCTGTGCAAACTTGTTACTAATATGATCCTTAATTTCTTTTTCTTTTTATTAAATAAACTACTTCCAACTAAACTAACACTGACTAAAGCCCTTTGGTGGTTTAAAATCTGGAATGGGAAAAAGCCCAACCACCTAGCAATGGCTTGGTAACCACTGTGGAAAACAAGGTCACTTCTTTCGAAAACAGAGATGTAGGCCAGTCCCTGTAGCAAAACTGACTTCAGAGCAGTGTGTACATTCAGAGAGGATGAGCAAAAACACATCTGTGTGCAAAGCACAAATATGATTGTGGATGGAGAAGAGAAGAGAAGAGAAAAGAAGAGAAGAGAAGAGAAGAGAAGAGAAGAGAAGAGAAGAGAAGAGAAGAGAAGAGAAGAGAAGAGAAGAGAAGAGAAGAGAAGAGAAGAGAAGAGAAGAGAAGAGAAGAGAAGAGAAGAGAAGAGAAGAGAAGAGAAGAGAAGAGAAGAGAAGAGAAGAGAAGAGAAGAGAAGAGAAGAGAAGAGAAGAGAAGAGAAGAGAAGAGAAGAGAAGAGAAGAGAAGAGAAGAGAAGAGAAGAGAAGAGAAGAGAAGAGAAGAGAAGAGAAGAGAAGAGAAGAGAAGAGAAGAGAAGAGAAGAGAAGAGAAGAGAAGAGAAGAGAAGAGAAGAGAAGAGAAGAGAAGAGAAGAGAAGAGAAGAGAAGAGAAGAGAAGAGAAGAGAAGAGAAGAAGCATACTTTAATAAAACCTCATAAACATCTTTCCTCCTGGTTTTCACAATTAGTAAACAGTAATTTTGTTACTGTGTCTCAGTGACACTAGGTGGCACTTCAGAGTAGTGGTGGGATCAGAAAGTCTTTTGTAGTATTTTCTATTTGTTCTGCATAGGATATTGTAGAGGCATAAAATTTATACTAACATCGAAAAAAAGCAATTTATCAGCTTTCTTCTAGTTTGTATATATGACTCTGAAGTAAATAATACTGTCTGTTTGAAAGAAGTAGCAAACATAAACAGAAGGGGACTATAACAAAGTGGTTCACTGATAGGTCAAAAATCCAGGTTATGGGCCAAAGCACTGGTCTAGAGGATTTGAGAAGCAGTTTGAGGAGAGAACTGAAAAAAAATCTATAGGCTTGGAAATCAGAGCAATATGTTTTTGACAGAGATTTAAGAGATGACCCTTTCCTGGAAAAGAAATTAGATTTGATGTCATGTATACATCACAAATCAAGTATATGACAATTATCCATAACCTGGTGCACTTTAGGAGAAACCAGTCAGCTTCCTTCTGGCCTTAAAAGACAAGAGTATATTAAGGGATTAATTGATTTGTAGTCAACTTTTTAAAAATAACATTATTTAACAATATATGGGTTGGGTAACAAAAAATGTACACATACTTTTGGAAAGCCTAGACCTGATGGGTGTCATTAATTAAAAACAGAAAAAAAGAAAGTGGGAAGGATATGACAAAAGCAAAAGAATAAGTTTACAGTATTGCCATCAAACTGCAGTAAAAACTTAAAGAAGTATCGCTTCTTCAAGACATCATTTTCATTTCCAACTTATTTAGTCAATTCAATAAGGAACAGAAAGGACTATTTTCTTTAGTTAAAAAACTCTTACAGGGATTTTAATTAACACTTTAGTGTTAATTTTTTTTAATTATTTTTTTAATTATTTTTTTAATTTTAATTAACACTTTAGTGTTAATTAAATGACATGTTAATTCATGACTAGGGAAAAAATGATACATTTAGATATCAAAAAGTAGCAGAATATATTGGTCATAATTCTGAAAAGCTCTTCAAATAAGAAAAAAGGAAGACCAAACATATACTCAGGCATGTTCCTGAGTAGTGTGATGAATCATAGGCATTATTAATTTAAGGTGGAAGAAAATACATTGTTGTCTCTAATTTTATTATTCTATCTTCATTATCAAAAAAAGATAGAATTTTAAAATTATTATTAGAAAAATTGTTTTAAAAGCAAAGGGAAGCAAGTGCTATTATTTTAGTTTGGATAATTTTATAGTTTATGATTGGTGGAAGAAATAAGAAACGTCTGTATGTCAGTTAAATACTTGCAGCTGAGGATCTGTCATGACACCTTTTTATTCTCAGATCTCTTGTTTCCACCAGCTTGAATTTTCAGATTACTGGGGTATGTTTTGTATCAGGCTCCCTAGAAGAGTCTATTCTGACACCCTAGGGATGGTCACATCCTTACCTACAGTGACCCCTTGGTGGCCCAGGGGTGCGGGAAGGGATAAAATGCCTTAGACTGCACCAGGAAACAAGGTTTTATTCTTTTATGTGTTTGAGTCTTACAGGTTATTTTGTGACTGTTCACCATCTTGATACTTTATGGAGAGATTGGAGACACACTGTAGGGCCTAAAGGCTTTCTAGGCTTTCTACTTTAACACTTATTTCTTTCCACACAACCATTTATAATTTCTTTGGGTCTTCATATATCTGTCTTTCTTTCTTTACTTTTTTTTGTTTGTTTGTTTTGTGGAGTTGATTTTGATTTTGTTTTGTTTTTAAAGTAGAAAAGCCATCTGGTCTATATTTATATGAAAAGCAGTTTTAAAAGTATTTGGCTTCCCACTGCTTTGAAGTCTTTGTAGGTGTTGTGTGTGGATGGGGTCCTATCAGTCATATGTAGGTATGGCTGCACAATTTATGGAAAACCAACTGTGTGTTTACCTTTTGAATTTGTCATGATCTTCCTGAAGCCTTAAGTTACAGGATTTGCTTATTCTGTTTTATTGCACAGGACTGGGAATCAGGGAAGTCTTGTTATATTTGTAGCCCAGGGTTGTTAGCAGGGAGTATGTATTTTATGAGGAATAGCTTGTGCTTTAGCACAGAGGGCAGCCAGCTTGGTAACGGGACATGCCATAGGTATTACAGAGAAGGATCAGGCTCAGACATTTTCTTCTGGACCTAAAGTTGCTTCTGGTTTGAAAGAAAAGCCTTAGCATGGAGAGGTTTTAAAGCCATGGAGGGAGAAATAAGAAGTTTGTGTACATGTTTATATGAAGTTTTATATAATAATAAATTTTTATTATTTATTTTATAAATCTCTTCCTGTAAATTGTATCTATATCTGATATTTTGAACTATGCACATGCAAACCCTGTGGAGCTGCTCAAGCTAAGATAATGCCTTTTTTCTCTATTGAAATACCAGTGCTTAGTTTTCTGCAAGAAGTCTCTCTCTAAATAATAGCAGATATCCAATCAAGAACTAAAAGGGAAAAAACTAACTGCTGATTT